GCCTCCTCGTGAAGCCAGTCGTAAGACTGGCTGGTCATATATTTCGGGATCTCAAGTTGTTGTGTCGTAGTGAATCTTTACGATGTCGATCTACATGAAAACCGGCGCTTCAGTCGACACCCTGCTGAGATTGAGAAAACGCCCGTCGCCGCGCGCGCGGAGCGGCTAATCACGATTTGCTTGACCGCCTCCGTCTTGCAATGTAAGTGTAAATTATGCGCCTTCAAGGGGCGAGGCCTCCTCGGGCGGGGCTTACGATGAGGTCTGCTGTACCCGAGCACCATGGGGGGCATTGGTGGAAAGTACAACCACGATACTGACTGTAGGTGAGATGCGTGGCGTATCCTAAAGTGGACTGACTAGTACTGAAAGCTTCATCATTCGAGCTCTATATACCTCGCAAAATTGCTAGAGCTTGAAACAGAAGATCGCACCCGTTAACTCTAGGCTAGCGGCTCATATTTAACCATTTTAGCCTGCCTCGGTACTTCGTGTCCGCCACCTATGACCTGCCTCACTAACATCGGAGTTTGCTGCGCAAATAATCAGGTATGTTATTTTGTTATGATGATAACTTATAGCGCATTATAGTTCAGAAATCGTAGGGTGTGGGCTTGAGTCAACCCAGGGTCTAGGCTTTTGCGCGTAACTCAGTTTTCTTGTGTGCTCAGGCATGTTTTTGAGAGACCAGTAGATATATAAATGACCTACTAGAACCTCGGCACCATCCACTTTCTACGGCTCACTCTTCCAAATTCAGGCTAGACTTTGACCAAGATTTTTTCGTAGGTAGCTGTTTTTTCTCCGTAGCTAGTGAGGTGAGCTTCTTCTCTCAAAGACAGTTCCAGCACTCATGAAATTCGTTGGCGTCTTCCTCATGCAAGTAGTCTGGCCTTCATTCTCTAAAGAATGTTCCATTTTCGCGGCTCCACAGGAAGTAACAAAGGCGCTGCGGCCCTCATAAGCGGCAGTTCTGACACCCCTATAGTTGCCACACCCCTATAGTTGCCCACCAAAACTCGAAGGCTCTTTTCTGCCGCGAGTTGTTTCTTCATACCATATTTGTTGATGATATCAGCATTGCATGATGCAAGGTAACAATTATCAAGCCAGAAGCAGCAGAATATCGTTTGCTGGCATAAAATAGGTTTGAACAACTCGTTCGGTAAGGCAGCCAGGAGGTCCTTACGGTGATCTCCATAATTTTTTTTCTTGATTTTTCCTCCCCTGAAGAGTCACCTAGCGGCTGTGGGTTCCTTTTTTGAAAGCTACTGTCCATAATGTACAAAAGCAAGGTTTGTCCTCAAGATAGTTTGACTCCCAGAAGGCGGAATATTCATTTGGACTGTCCCTCTTGGCTCAACATCACCTGGATGACCCCAAGCACCTTGAGCACGAGCCAGAGTGAAAGGTTCCCTGACCTCCAGAGCACAAATATCAGATCCGTTGGCTCCAGAACTCTAAGCGCGTGCACCACAGCCACCGGCGTCAATGACAGTTTTGGCGCTTGGCGTTCGTAAAGCGCGTGCTGAAAGTTTTGAGCTAAGTGGATGTAATATTTGTACTCAGGGAAATGAGCCACCCCGAAATGGTTTATCCAATACGGCCGTCAGAGAAAAAGGCATCCCAACCTGGCCAGAGGTTTGAGAGGGAGAATTAGGAGCAATAATGCCAATTCTCTTTGTATTAATTTTCAGTGTGGACCCATGGAAACAAGCGTAGTTTTCATTTTCAGAGAGGCTGTAGTTTCATTTTTTTTACTATTTTTCAACGCAAATCGTTTTTTTTTTTGGTCTTTTTAGAATACAATTCATTTACGACAAGCTTTGCAGCATTAATATTTTTTTGCATAATCAAAAATTAATGTCTACTTTTTCTATTTAGATAGTCTTGCGACAAACAATCCCCATCCACGACTAACTGCTTACCACGGATCCTCCAGTGGTCACTGTAGCTCTGTAGACTACTTTACCGTGAGTGTAACTGTGGCGACAAACTGCTTCTCAATAAGTGCCTTTAGTATTTTTCCTTTATTTAGATTGCAACTGCTGCGCGTGCAAATCATTTGGTGAGCAGAATAGCGACTATCGCAGCACAGGGCGGCCGGGTCATTATTTCAAAAACCAAATCAAATTCTAGTGCATTATGCTTTACGCTTCACATAAGAATACGTTCTTGCCTTCATAGTCAATCACTATAAATCCTTCTGCCTCGCCTGAATCATCGAGCTGAGCGCAGTACTTCTTCCTTCAACATGCAACGTTAAGTTGCCAGTTGGTTTCCGTGCTCGAGGGAACGGATGACTCACACATTTCGCCAGAGTTTTTCCTAAGAAGTCTGACATTGCTTGGTCGTTCAGTGCTTGTCTGCGTGTCAAGTCGGTATCACTGCGTTCCGCGATTGTATTCGAATGACATGATCTTGCGCGCACACCTGATAGAATTCTTGCAAACTGGGAAGTGCGGCTTGCAAATAGCTTTCGATATTTTTGCCCCTGACCTGGCCATGGAGTTTCCTATTAGAAGCTCCTTTGACACTGGTCATATGGGCGGAGCCGGTCCCATTAATGTGCCTTCGTCACTGGCCACCCCATTGTTTAGGTAACGGGAAAAAGCCCTCGATGGGAGATTCAACTCCTTCAGTGTGACCATCCCGGAATGTGCCTCTACATACCGCTGCTATCGCTGACGTTGAGCACCTGATTTAACGCCCCAGCTTCTGTTCACGGGCACTCATTCATTGCATGTTCTCTGTAAACAAACCAGAAGAATGCGAAAAATGTGAAAATGGTCGGCATTTATCGACCCTTTAGGATGCGCCTGTACTGGAGTGTGCCCAGCTGTTGCTCAAAGTGCTGGTTTTATCCCAGCATGGAACTTCAGTGCCAGTCACTCAGCCTTCGAGAGAGCCTTCTTGGCCCACCGCAGTTCAGCACGGCTTCTCCCAGCCGCCTGACGACCTCGCCTTCGAATTGGAAATGGGCTGTGATAATGGGGGGGGGGCGGGGGAGGAGCACGTAACGATGCGACTATGCCATATCATGCCTGGTCCTATCAGTTCACTGTTCTGCCACGTCTTTTGAAGCCTCATATTGGATATATGCGCCAATTTACTGGTTGCCATGGATTTTCAATAAAAAAATTGTGGGACTCTTCATACCACCCCGAACGCTATTTCGGTGAGAGGGCGCAGAAAAGCAGGCAGGAAGCGATGGCCACGAAAGCAGTGCTTTCGTGACGCAGTGGTTTGGTGCAGACAAAGTGGCACAGTGTTTTCCTTATCACTAGCTTCTGAAAAGTAGTGAAGTAGGCAACCAACCTAACCAATTAGCACATGATTTAGCAACATGCGTGGACCTGCTGAACCCATCAACGGGCGTTTCTGATTGCCCTTCAATGGTCTCGTACTGTAACAATGCCGTATACTACACGTTAATGACTCAACAATGCCCAAGGACTTGTGGACGTTGTACGTCGTCGTCCGTCACTACAATTCCAACAAGTAAGTCGATTTCGTATGGATCTGAATGGGTCACATCGACCACGCATGGACCATTTACAATTTACGCACAATGAACTGCTTATCTGGCCTGAATAAGCTGAATACTTAGCCGTTTCATATCTAATTCTCGGATTGTGCAGTAGCTGCGCCAATGGACAGTCCGAGAGATAGATGCGAATCGACTGCCTCCGTTCAAGTGAAGGTTCAAGGAACTGAGAATCGGAAAATCAACTCGAAATCCTAACAGAAGGTGGCGGGGTAGCAGTCGTGAACGATGTCCACTTCCATGGCTCTCAGGATATCTGCCAACTGCGGAGCTTCACTCATTCTCTTTTCCTTTCCCCT